ATCTATTTACGCTGTCATAACGTGGAGGCTCAGCTTTGTTTTGGGGGGCAAAAAAGCAAGTTTTCATAACATGATTTACCAAATTTTAGAAGAATTGATTTAAGGTAATGTAAGACTACACTAGGGTAAAGCTCCAGGAACTTAATATAAGTCAATGCAATGTCCTCAGAGATATGGTAACGCAGCTGTATGATCAACGTGTGTGTGTGTGCTCTGGCCTCTGCTTACTGCAGATATGCTTCTTTTCAGAAAGGCTATAGAAATATGCAGTGTGTGTGTGTGTGTGTGTGTGTGTGTGTGTGTGTGTGTGTGTGCGCGTGTGTGTGTGTGTGTGAGAGAGAGAGAGAGAGAGCGAGAGAAGAGAGTGAGTGAGTGAGGGTTGATTTGCTGTACAAAGATCTTTTAGCTGCAAAATCAGCTTTGGCACATTGTGAGAACCAATGTTTTCCTCAAAACTGAGAAAGAAGTTCCTGTTAACTGAAGTCAAGCGACAGACCATAGACTGTGTAAAAAGTTAAACAAAGATCACATTTTAAACCATATCTTGAGACCCTTTGTTGATAGCAGCCTGTTGAAAAAAAAAAACACATCATTTATTCACATTTCTTTATTTGAATCTATTAAAAATGCAAAAGATAACACAGTGTGAGAGGCAAATTTGACATTTGTATTCATATTGTCACCAGTAGGTCAGGAGAGGGGTACAGCAGTGCACTGTTATGATTTGGGCCTTGATTTTGGACAGTAGTGTTGGAGGTCAAATTTGATGGAATTATAGACAGAAAAGTGTAATTTGGAAGATTTTGATCCAACATTTGGAAAGCATCTAATTGGCTTCTTTTTCAGCATGCCAAATGATCCCAAACTGCTATTAGAGTAAGATGGATAGAAAAACACACAATATAACACTATCAGTCATGGATTGGCCTCACCAGAGCACGCACCTCAACATTACTGAAGGGTTGTGTGGGATCATCCTGACAGAGAACAGAAGGGAGAAATCCTCATATCAAAGATCAAACCCAGATTCAGCTCAGAGTTAATACCACCAGTTTGAGATATCAAAATGTGCCCACAGTTCTTGTTGAGTGGAGCTTTTAAAGTTCAGAAAATGTTCTTGTTGCGTCTCAAATAATTTTAACTGAGTCAGCATGAACTCAGCTGAAGACAAGTTTTAAAATTTTGACAAAAAAATAAGTTACCGAATAAAAAAAAATTGGGAGTGTGAAAGAAATGTATGTACTGAACCTCTGAGCCCGCTCTCCTTCTCTCACAGCTTATTTACCATCTTATTCACCTGTAGGCTGATATAAATCAACAAGTCGATATAGATCATTGCAACTCTAATAATCAAGGAGTTTTAGCATTATTATAGATTACATATATACAGGTTCTGAGGTGTGATTTATCGTTACCACTCCTTACACATGTATCACAAAAGAAGGAGCAGAGACAGATCAGTTACTCCTCCACCATTTGTATGAACACAAGGCTGCATTACATACTTTCAGTGAACCTGAGAATAAAACAGGTCTATATTTTTTAGTTTTTACTTACCAAATCATTCTTGGGTCATTTTTAAAATAAACAGTCTAACTTTGTTAAATAAGCCAAACATTTTAACAACAAATGCAATCAGGCTGTGACTTATCAGATTTGTGACTTAATGGTTTAATGACTGAGAGTTTGATGGTGAACCTTTACAGAGGGTGCAGAAACCTTTAAAAGATTGTAGTCTTCATGTGCAAACACTTCTTCTCTGTGTGATTTGTCAGGTCGTCAGCACACTACTGTCATCTGCAGGATTTAAGAAGTAATGACAAAGATGTGCTGTAGCTGCAGGAGTGTAAAATTAGACATGCAACCAAACAAACGCATTCATAAAAGTCCTGGTTTTCTAAGTGTGTGTGTGTACAGAAAGAACATTTCATCCTGAAATGCAGTAAAACTGAATCTGTTTTCAAATAAATCAGTAAAAGTCACGATAAACACCTCCATGCTGTTTTCTCTAGTCAAACGTCAACATTGGAACCTCATAAATGATAAACAAGAAGCCGACCCCCTATTTTTTGTTATAAATCGCTCCAACACTTATCAAAATATTTGCTGATTACTTCAGTCCAATAATTAACTAATTACCAGCACAGTGTCATCGCATTTTTTACTGGCCCCAGTGCCAAAACAAATAGGTCTTCCTGCATTATTGATGAGGGAGGAGCTGTCTAATATCACGTTTGACTGATCAGATTAATGTCCTCTTCCCTCTCTCTCTCTCTCAGCAGGTCCCCTCTGTGTCCCGCTCTGCCCTGAAGTCAGAGCAGCTTGATCAATGGTATTGATGACAAGATGCTAATAGCAGATGCTAATAGGGTCGGTATGAGTAATAGACCGAGGTTGCCATTGATCTGCAGAGTTAGCATCTAATGCTAAAACAGCTGATTCAACCGCATAGTTGGACTAAAAGTGCCACCCTTGCTAGGTGTGTGTGTGTGTGTGTGTGTGTGTGTGTGTGTGTGTGTGTGTGTGTGTGTGTGTGTGTGTGTGTGTGTGACTGCAGGGAGTGAAAGTTAGATAACAATGCTTAAGGCCATTTTTTTCTACCAATATGAAGGCACAATATGTACAAGCACGCAGTAAGATTTATATCTAAACACAAAGCTGAAGTCAAACACTGGCACTGGTTTGTCTATCTCACATAAATTATGTCCTCCCTTATTCAAGATTCATAACTTATTAGACTAGGCAAGCAATTTCAATCCAAGAACTTGGAAGTGAAGGGGTCTTTTGACAGCAGGTTTTAGTCCTAATATGAAGCACAGATGCTTTTAATGACATTATTGATGGCTCTGATCTTTTCAGAAATCCTTGTAAGTTAGGAAAGAAGGAAAGCGAGCCAGCAGAAACCAGAACCGTGAAACTTGGTGGAATTCATCCATCTGTAATTTTAGCACTGGACAGCGTTTTTCCTGCTGTGAGATATCAGATGTCCTTCTGTGAAAACAGACTTCTGAGTCAGTGAACACAGGCTGCTTTAAATCAAATCGGATTTGCCCTTTGTGGAGGTAAATATATGGTATAGAATAAATAAGCTGTAATATCAAAGTAAAGTTACACTGAGCTAAGTATCTCCAGACAGGCGTTCAGGTAAGTTTCAAAAAGGCTTTTACCACAGGGCCAACATCCCAACCTCCTTTAGCTACAGAACAGGCACGTTTCTGGGAGTGTTGGTGTGAGAGTGGTTCAGTCAGATTTACAGGTAAGTACAAGGCTGGCTCATATATCTCATATATTCAAGAAGCACTGTGAGCTGACAAAGGGGTCAGGAAAGCAGTTCAAAGATGCCTGAGCTATACAGGCTGAATGTGAGTAGAGCCACAATCTAAAAGTGAGTGCAGACAAGAGTCAGGTTTAAGTGCTGTCACTGAAAGACAAAAAGCTGCCATGCCAACAACAGGTGTGTCCTCTCTGGACCACACCCACCTCCGCACACGCACACAGAGGAGAGGGAGAGACAAACAGATCTTTCAATCTGAGCATCAGGATGGGGAATAAAGATGAATGTGACGTAGTCATTTGTGCCGGTTTCAGTTAATGAGTATTTTAGAAATTACTGATCTGCCAGGCATTATATGGGCACACTGAGCATTAGTTAAACGTCACTCCTCACCAGATGCACAGTCAAAGTGAAGTGGTTAAGTGAACAAATCCATGAAAACACAAGCTCACTGTTTCTTACTTGTTCTCATTGCTGTTTGTTAAAGGTCAGTCACACCCACACATCTGTTTTCACTTATTCTGCCTGATTAGACCTCAGTTTGGAGCTGCTAAAATTGCATGAATCCACTGCACTATGCATTAATGTGCAAGGGGGAAAAAACGATATATGTACCCAACAAAGTGATTAGAAGAGTCAAACTGACATCAGAAATTGAGTCCATGCCAACACAATTTAGAGATGATGTCCACTGTAACCAACCTTAATATTAATAAAATATTTACAAAAACAAAATAATTACATTCAGTGTTTAACGGAAATTCTGAATGTAACAAAATCATTTTCTTTTGAATTAAACATTTTTTATTATCCTGATTTATAAAACTTATTTTTTCTTACTCGTTTGAACGTTGCTATACTGCTGGTATACAAGATCGAGAAGCTCCTGCAATGATCTTACTTCCCATTTTTTAAAATTGTTTTTGCTTTTTACCAATAAATTCATAAACTATAACATAAGTTTAAGTTTATGCAGAAATGAGCTGTTTCTATAAAAAAAAAGAGAAGGCTAAAATGTTACCAAGTCAGAGAGATGCACAGCGTTGCTGCACTCAAACAGAATAGAAATCTACATCAGAATTTTATATTCTCATCTAATTTGAGCTGTAAAATGTTTAAAATACAAACATCATCTTCTTATACAATAATCAAACAGGCACGTGCTTGTACCAGAACATCAAACTTGGTTTGGTAAGTCAGAATTTGCAGTAGTGATTGTTATATGACCATTTCACGGATGGGTGTTTGCTATAATTATAGGCGGTAACTTCTCCAACCATCCGTAAGCAACACCTTATGGCAACAGCTGTGAGCACTGAAAACCTAAAACTATATGCTGTTAGATGAGCTGACATCATAAAGCGAAATTCTTTTGCTCATGAGGAAATAAAGAAACCATAAATAAAATGACTTTTTTAACAGATTTGAGGCATTAATGCAAAACTTCTGCTGAATGTTTCCCCTCTAATCCACTGTGGCATCTCGCCATCGGGCCTATTTTTAGGGACTGTTTCTCCATTTCCTTGCAAACAGCAAATGCTTTCCAAATTATCCCTGTAAAAATGTAAAAAGCTCAAAATAGAGGGGCTATTTTGAGCTTTTAATGAAAACCTAATAAAGGCTTTAGCCTTTCCCATTTGCTCCCATCCATCAGCCTCATTAAGAAGTGAACAACTGCAGTTGCTCTCACCCAAAAAGAGCTGAAACAAAAGAGACCAGACGGCAGTTCGACAACATAAAGAGGGGAGTTTTATTGATTTGTTTATTCTTTACATTGTTTAAACCATTTCCATAGCCATACATTCAAGAAATCCTTTCTGAGCTCTAAAATGAAGTGAACTGCATCCATGTAAGTCAGCCAACTGTCCACTCAAAAGATTCATGTTGCAGTAAACATGAATCTTCCTTCGTTATGTTTTGCAGTATTTCCTGTGTAGTGCACATACAAAGGAATGGCTTTGGGTTGACTGATTTATTAGTGTCATGATCGTGGTTCTTCATATTTTTTTAGTTACAAAAAAAACTTTTCTTGCTATACCTAGTTCATAAATACAGTATATATTATAATATTATAACCATTCATCTTGTGCTGGAATCAAAGCTGTGCTGCAGTTTTAAAAAATCGTAACATCAATAACATATATGGAAACTAGCTTGCCTGTATAGATTGTTTACAATATGATGTTTACAGTGATTTTACAGTGTTTTCAATGTCCCTGATTATCTCAGTACCGTAGTGCGACATCGGCTTTATTTTACAGGAAAAAAACAGCACGAGTATCAGAGTGTGTGTTTACAGCTACTCAGACTTGGAAGGTTTCGTGTGTAGTAGCGTTGTGTATGTATTGGTACTAAAGCCTGGAGAAACAGAGACATTTAAAACAGGGGGGGAAATGAATACTTATAGACAGAGCCATGTGGCAATCATGTAAACAGATCTTTTACATACATTATTACTCAGTCAGTCATTCATTGGATATATAGGTGAGTGCAATGGTTACCAATCACGTGTACGATAAAGAACACAATACCACGGAAGTCAAGACCAATCTCATTGCCAGCAAGCTGCCTGCAAATTCCTCCTTTTGTCTTTCACTGCGTGCGCAGGATATTCAAACAATCTACAGGAGTGTGAGGCAAACTCTTACATTAATAAACAACAAAATTAATTAAAGTAAGAATGGAGAGAACACAATCAAAAGAAAGAAGTAGAAGAAGAGACAATATATTCTTTTTCAGAGCGGACGGGCACACAGAACGTTGACTATATTACATCGAATTGTGGATGCTCCGATCGTCAGCGAGACAAAATCGTTAGAAGTTCAGTGTCTCTGACATCATCTTCCACCAATCCATCAGCTCCTCCCGCTCCTCCTCCTTCCTCTCCATCAGGGACTCCAACTCAAAATCCACCTGAGACACACAAGATACAGCAGCTGAGAGCCAAGGAGGATCCAACGGACTTTGGAGCTAATGTGTTGGTTTTGTAAGTTGTTCTTTAACTAGAAACTTTTCTATTCATTCATTCAAATGTTGCTTTTTTTCCTATTTTCTCTATCTAAATATTGATTGTATCGACAGGCAGGCATTAGGATGGAATCAATACTGGATATTTTGTTGCTATTCTTTAATTCCAATATGTAAAATATGTATTAGTTTTTTGGAAATGAAAAAAATATATCTCAAACCTGCTCTATAAAGAATAGCAGAACCTTTTTGTGTTTATTGTCACGTCTACAGACGGAACAGAAGATGATCCAAAGGGTTTTAGAAACAGGCACATTTACACTCCAGGCCTCCAAAAAATAAAAAATAAAAACAATTTAAAAATACATGAAAAGCTGAAAGGTGTGTTTTATTGTGGAAACTTATTATTGTGGAAAGTAAAAATCACAGTGATTTATTGGTCACTAAAATGTTCAGAATTTGTTAAGTCATGACACATTGCTCTCCTGCTCATACCTCTAGGTTAAAAGGAATACTGGAGCTGTATTTACTGGAATCACACCAAACGTTTCAGTATGACACACGAGTCGTTTATATGTTGAAGTTTAACATATAAACTATGATAGGTGTATTTGGTCTATATGATAGGTTTTCTGCACTTCTTGAGCTCAGTTGGTGTCATCGCACTTAATCCACAGTTACAGCTGGCCACATGTAGATGAATATCACTCCTTTCTTTGATCTCTCTCCAGGCTTTTACTGACTCAGAACAGATCGCAGCATCGAACAGCGATGTAGCAGCACCATCGACCAGGACAGGGCCGGTTGGAAGACAATTCTATTAAACTACAACTGACACCAGATCTTATCTTAAAACACTAACAGGGTTATCATGACCCCCCATATGAGACCATATCAACATAATAATAACATCTTTACTGTCATTGCACATATGCAATAAAATCGAATGCAATCTATAAGCGCAGACATCTGAAAAAAGGATAAAAATGTCTTGTAAAATATATATGTACGTCCAAAAGAAATTTATGAAGGTCTCTAAAAGTAGCCATTTTCCTGTGCCTTCAGTGCGCGATTCATTCTCTTTTAAAATTTGCACAGTTCCAGCAGTGTTTAGTGCAGTTATTACTTCAGCTTTTTCATCTGTTTGTCCTTGTTTTTAACGTCCTGAAAAGTCTGGGCAGAAGTTCAAAAATAGCAGAACTGATTCCATCTGATAATAAAGACTCTGTGATGCAACTGGAAGCTTTGAAAAGATTTTTTAGCTATTAGTTGATAAACTAAAGCATCCTCCATGACAGGAAAACAACTGGTTCTCTAGAAATTAATCTGGGCAATCTTAAGATTGTTAACAGGGCTGGTAAGAAGAAAAAAATAGAGACTCTGATATCTTTTATCAAGAATATGCAATCCAGACTGATTTTGAATAGAATTCAGTTTAAATACTCATAATCATTTTTCTGCTGCAGACTCACTTGGTAGCTTGCAGACTTTAAAAATTCTGCCCTACAAATTCGTCCTATGCAGCTTGACATGAGGGCTTCTGAGTGAACAAACTCTCCTCCCTTTGTTACTCATACTAAGCACTTAACAGCTGTTAAACGTTTAGTGGCTTATTGTGAACAGACACTTCAACCGAGACCTTACATTATTACGTAGGCGGTGCCAACATTAGTCAGACATCCAGCATCTGATGTGTTTGTGGTGTCTGCTGGAGGGACCAAGGTTCAGTGACTTATTCTAGATTGTATATTTTCATATAGGTGTAGGGTTTAGAGATCCAGAAAATATGGCTGGGAAACTTCCACTCAGGTTACCTTCTGGAAAGATAAAAGACCCCACAGGGAATGTGATGGGTCATTTGTTTGTGTGTCTTACCCTGGTTGCAGGGCTGTAGGGTACAGCCACCTTCTTGATGACAGTCAGGTATCCAGGGGCAGAGGCTGCCACTTTGTAGTTTCCTGGAGCCAGTAGGCGCCAATAGTCTCCATCTTTGGCTATAAAATACAGATTGTCTTATTAAAATGTGTTTAACCAACACACTGATGCTCAGAGCAGCGCCGAGCAACAACTGCAGTACCCACACTATCCACGAGATGGAGGCATTGCACCATCTCTCCGTTATATTTCTCATATGGAGCAAGCAAAAGCTGTGATAGCACTTGTGCTTTGTGAATTGTGTGAATTTACCTGTAGTGATGTCATGGTCAATACCCTCCACAGATACAGTGGCATTGGAAATAGGGTTGCCCTGAAGGTCACGGATAAAGCCCTTAACACCACGGTGAACCTGCACACAATGTGCACATTGACACGTGAAGAACATGTTCCCTCTAGGACTGATGGCAGCATTTTTTCAGGTGTAAAAGATTTGTTCGTTTTTGGTGGAGAAGATGTACTGTAACAGTGTCCTCAGCAGAGCATTGAGCATTTTATAAATATAGAGCTTTTTCTGGTTGAGCAATCTCTTGTGAGCAAACAAAGGAAGAAGTGGCATCACCACAAATTAGTGTCTGACATCTGGATGGGCAGTTGCAACTCTGACGGCGTGAGTCTGCATTACGTGTCCGATTATGTGGTTCCTTTTTACCATCAAAGTTACGATTCTTTCGCCTCCATTAGCAGAATTAGTCACATAAATCCTGCCAGATCCAACCTATGATCTGAAAATATGTTGTGACTGTGAAGGTCAATTTTGCTCTTATAGATGACACATTTTGCAGTTTATTTCAAGCATTAGCACTTATAGACTTGAGATTGCAAGCGTTGGTATTGTCTCTGGGTCAGCTGTGCAAATGGAAGAGACTGCAAACCGTGATTTATGGCATCTGTATTTAGAGTCCTGCCTACCTGCTCGATGTAGTTGACGAGCGAGTTGCGGTTCTGCTCCCAGTAGCTCTTCAGCGTTTCCTCATTGGGGAACTTGTCGCAGCTGAGCTCCAGAGTGATCTCGAAACTGTTGCTGCTGAGATAGTTAAAATCCTGCATTCCTGTAAACCGCAGAGAGAAAGAAAGCAAAACCAAAAAAGTCAACAGAATTCAGGATTATATATTTGAAAATGGGTTAACCATTTACCTGAAAACAATATACATAGTTAAATACAGTGACTTGAGAAAGTCTTCACACCCACGTCACCTTGTTCAGTTTTGTTATGTTGCAGCATGATGCCATCAATTCTTTTTTTCCTCATTAATCTACACACACTACCCCATACGGACAAACTGAAAACAGAATTTTTGTAACATCCCTCCATTCTCTTTGGCTTTTCAGGGTTGCGGGCACGCTGGAGCCTATCCCAGCAGTCTTAGGGTGAGAGCCAGGGTACACCCTGGGCAGGTCACCAGTCTGTCGCAGGGCTAACTCATACAGACAGACATTCACACCTATGGGCAATTTAGAATAACCAGTTAACCTAACCCCAATAACTGCATGTCTTTGGACTGTGGGAGGAAGGCAGAGTACCTCAAGGGAACCCACGCTAGCACAGGGAGAACATGGAAACTGCACACAGAAAGAAAGAAAGACCTGATGGTGCAATTGAACTCAGGACCTTCTTGCTGTGAGGCAACAGTGCTAACCACTGTGCCACCATACTGCCCGCTTTTGGTAACATCTACATAAGAATTCAAGCCTATTGCAAAAAAACATATTAGCTCAATCCCTCCAGTTTCTCTTGACCGTTGCTGAGACATTTCTATGCCTTGACTGAAGTCCACCTGTGGTAAATTTAATTGCCTCTCTATAGAAGGCCTCGTGGCTGACAATGCATATCACAGCAAAAACTGTGAGCTCAAATTAACAGCCTAGAGAGCTCAGAGACAGGGTTGTTGCAAAGCCCAGATCTGGGGAAGCCTACAAAAACTTTTCTGCTGCATCAGAGTTCCCATGAGCACAGACGCCTCAGATGGAAGAGGTTTGGCGCAACCAAACCTCTGAGAGCTGGTGGCTCGGCCATACTGAGCAATCAAGGGAGAAAGTCCTTATTGAGAGGTATGCTTTAGTTGCCTCTTACCTCCAGGCACACTGTACCAGGCCCCGCCATTAGTGATGCCGTCTTTGAAGCTGGAGTCGTCATCGTTCTTGCGACACGGGGCTCGGTGAGGATCGGACATGACGGGGTTATACATGGAGTAGGCTCTAGCCAAAGACTTGAACATCACATCATCCGGACTGGCGCTGTACTCATGCGTGGATCCTTAATGAGCGGAAAGAGAACAAACAAGCGCTCGCCATTTACAGAGCGGCTATGATGAAGTGTTAGCAGAAAACGTGTGCCTGCTCAACACATTTTGTTTGCTTTGAGCGATGACGCAGAGGAACCGGCCGGTGGAAAGATTTTCCATCTGATTTAAATCAAATTTACGGCATTCTAAAGAAAAGGGACTAAAATGTTTGCTGTTACATAAACGGTTCAAATATTTATCTTGATAAACATCCTCACATGAAAGAAAGGAACAGTTTACATACAGTTTAACAACCCAAACAGGAAAAACAGGTGTGGGAGTGATCTCTTCTACTAAAGGCGAAGCAAAAACTTCACTTGCTCTGTTTGGGAAGTTTTAAATGTGGATATTTGGGTCGCATCATCAGGAATCATATCTGCGATGATGAAGATGAAGAGCAGCGCCAGTGTTTTATAATGTTTTTTTCTTTTCAGTGGAGGGAATAGGCTTCAATAAAACTCAAATGGACTCTAACATGTGATATAAATGTCCTTATACTGTGTGTGTGTGTGTGTGTGTGTGTGTGTGTGTGTGTGTGTGTGTACCAGTGCGGGTTTCATCATATGGATAGTTGGCCACAACGTCTCCTCCGTGCAGGTTTGCCGAGAGGACGAAGGGGATGTCCATGATCCAGTGGATCACAGCCTTGGTCTCTGGAGCCAGCTGCAAATGTGAAACATTAAAAAATTACAATTACAATAATGTTTAGATAATAAATGTCTAAAGCAATATCACCTTCGACCTACACAAACTCAAAAAAAGGATTCTTGACCCTCAATAAGCATGGTACAATAATTTTGAATAAAATGCAGTTGAAATATATCAAATCAAAGTTTTATTTATTCAACTGATTAATCATTAAGGAAAATATGCTTGGTATAAACTGAATGCATGCCAGTCAAGTCAATTTAATTTGATTAGATTCCATTAAATTTCATGTACGTATGTCACAAAATTAGAATTTACAAGTAATCAAATTACTTAATATTCAAAGGATTTCCCATCAAATTTGGTTACTTTTGATGAATGAACATGAAAGGGGTAATAATAAATGAAAATGCCATTTTTGAATTGCTATCAATTCATCATTTCTGCACATGCACACACAAAAAATGCCACCCACATATACACACACACACACACACACACACACACACACACACACACACACACACACACACACACACACACACACACACACACACACACAGACATAGTGGACACCCCACTATACCAAGGGTCAATTTTGGGGGGATTTTGATTCCCCACTGAGCTGGCAACCCTTCATTTAGCCATTCATTTACTAGCTTTGTTATATTATACACTTTTGATTATAGCAGCTTTGGTTCCACCTCACATTTTCCATCCTTCTACTGTAAATGTCCCGTAGATACCCACAGATGTTCAGCAATCCACACATGAAAGCAGACCAGAGCAAATGGACTATTTATTCCTTTCTGTGCAACATTTCTTAAAAATATTTAAAATAAAGTTCTCAATGTTAATATCATTTATTAATGAACTTATATAAGCATATTTATTACATAGTTTGAATTAGCTTGTTTCTGAGTGACACAGAAAGGGTGAATAAAACTCAAAGATTTGAGTCTTAGCATTATTATTGCTACTTCAGTCTTTTCGTGGTAAGTAAGAAATAACGGCCACCTTATCCTGTAATCAGTAAGTCAGTTTGTTTTACCTTGGTATTTTCATCCACAGCCTTCTTCATGTTCTGCAGCAGGTGGTTGTTGGCTCCGCCTTCCCGCTCGTTGATGTAGATGATGCGGTCCAGGTCAGGGAAGTTACGATTTAGATCCACCCCCTGCGCATTACTGCGGCCCACAAACCAGTCCTTAATCTCTCCGGGCTGCACAGTAAACAGAAATGAGATGGGGACAGATTAAAAGACAGTGTCTGGAGCTTTAATAGATGCTGCTCTTGCTGTGTAGGTGTAATTTAAAGACTTGTGGTTCCTAAATGACTGTTTGCAGGGCTGCAAGCTTAAACTGTCCAGACGTAAAGTTCAAAAAGTGATTTTTACGTGCTGTTTCTTCACCTGTGAGGCGGCCTTCTCAAAGCCGTCGGGGTTCATTGACGGCATGAGGTGGATGCGGGTGTTGTGGATGAGATCGATGATGGTCTCGTTGCCCTGCTGGTACTGGTTGCACAGGTACTGAGCCAGGTAGATGAGCAGCTCTCTGCCCACCGCCTCGTTGCCATGCATGTTGGCGATGTATTTAAACTCAGGCTCACCTGCAAGAAACCAGAAGGCTCCTGTTGAGTCACTGTCACACAGACGTAACTGTGACTGGACATAATGTAACCATCCCTGTTGTGAAGAGCAGGTTTTTGGCCGAGAGGCAGAACTGAACACACATCTCACAAAGGAGGAGGATTTGACAAAGCTGACAATGAATCAGCATAAACCACTCTCACGTAATCTCACAAAAAGAAAAAAATGCACACATACAGCTGGCCACATCGACACTATAGCGGGAAACCATCATGGAAACAATCTGTTATCTCCTCGGGACCAAACAGGTCGCATTATGATTTGTTATGGAAGTTATCGTGGACACAGAGGACGTCCACGCTCGAGGAGTGACGAACACACTGACTCATCAACAGAAAGGTTACATCGTATCAAACGTCGAGCCCAGTGCTCCTCTGGACAATAATGAGAGAGACACAGTGGATTAAGCAGCGACTGTGTCACACACTGTTCTGTCAGACACGTGGCACCGAGGAACCTGCTGATGATGGGTTTGAGAGAGAATTTAACTCAAAACACCAAAATTAATTCCCCAAATCACTGATTAACAGTCACCAACTATGATTACTGATGATTGATTAAAACCTACTAATTAACAAAGTCACTTAAAGTCATTCCAGTTACCAAATTATCAGTGTATTTTACACCTGGGGATAGTATTTTATTATTACGTCTTTTACGTCTATTAATAATGAAGGTGTTTGTCTTAAATGAGGCAGGAGGCCGTACATGGCAGGTTCAAATGCCAATCTAATTTTGGATTTTTTTCAAAAGCTTTTAAAGGTTTTACAAGCCAATCTTCACCACAGTGAGCTCTTCAGATCACCAGAAAAGTGGGTAAACGGCAAATGGACTGCTTCTTATTTCCACTTTTCCACTCAAAGCACTTCAAACAACAAGTCTCGTTCACACACACACAATCATACGAGCACTTTTTTCCTTCTTTGTAACATTCACACGCATTCACAATCTGATGAGGACAGTTTGGCATGCAGACTGTAACAGTCAAGGATCAAACCACCAACCCTGGCGATTATTAGATGACCTGCTTACCTCCAGAGCCGCAGCCACTCATTTGTTATCAGTTACATTTCAGATTTTTAAAACATTTATGTTTTGCAAATAATGGATTTGTCAACAGTAAAAACTGTGTACTGGTCACTTGTAGTTGTCATGGAAACTTGCCACCTTGTCTGCAAACACTCACCAACAACTTATTAAGCAGTATTTAAAAAAAAGAAAGAAAAAGTAAAAGTTGTGCTTACCACTGAGACCAAAAAGATGCAACTTTAACTGTGAAGGTGGACGGCTTATGTTTCTGCTTTGTGTCAGTTTTTCTAATTTTTCCCTACAGCTCGAAAAGTAAATGCTGAGTGTTTGCAGGCAACATTGCCTCAACGCAAGATGATTTTTGGTAGAGCAATTTCACCCCTCACCAAATGATCAGGGGATACACATTAGTCCTCAGTGAACAGTTACCAGTCAGCATCTAGACCTGTGTGACTGGATGACAAATCTTTAAGAAATGTACTTTTATCCTTGCTCACTGAACGTCTGTGTTTAATACACATATTACTGTATTGCGCCAGGGTCGTAGTCTGATATCCTGATTATGTTTTGCACATTTCAACATCCTGTCCTGTTTTTGAGAACCTTGGATCTGAGTTGATTCTAAATTTGGTTCCTTTCTTTGTATTTATCTAAAAATACACACTGGTGGATTTACTGTTATTGGCCACGTCAGTGCGTGGGTAGAAAAACTGCATCTGCTTTTCTTTATCAAAGGTGATCTTGCTTTCATATCTAAAAGCTATTTCTGTCTTGAGCCCAGTGAATTTGCCTTGTAATAAACCCCCATGATCCCACCATCTGTTTTAGATACTAATTAGGCTCTTCATCTATACAAATATATACAAAACACGGACAAGTTTGAAATTGGACCTATTTAAAGCCCTTTAACAAAATGACAAAGAAGAAGACGTATGAGCTGCAGCGAGCTGTAAACATTCTTTGATTGGCTATGAATCGAAGATTAATGGCTTTCTGCGGCTGCACGAGAACAAAGTCTTTTGTTCAGATCGGTTACAAGTTATAAAATGTAGTTTGAGAATGGCAGATGTTGAAAAGCAAGCGAGTATCCAAGTGTGCTGAAGCCAAATCGCTGCAGGGTGCTGGTTTTACTGAGAACTGTGTTTTTATTGTTCTTCCTTCTACCCTGATTGGGTCATTTCGTTGTCCTTATTTTTCCACTAAAGAATAATGACTATTATTATTCTGTGTATCTTATATATATTCTTCTACAACTAAATTATTGTATAAAATGCTTTCAAGACTTTTTAAATCCATTTTGGCTGGTCTCTTCATGTATTTGTAGAGTAACGCCAGCAGCTTCATGCGTGAGTAATACACACACACACCACCCAGCCACATCTGGTAGTCAGGTTATTTTTAAATGTTTGAATCTCCTCACAGTTGCTACTAATGATTTCAAGCCTGCAATTAACTCTTTCTGTCCTGGCGTTGCTGGATGTTTTTGTTTTTACAGCCTTCAGAAGCCCGACAGAGCTGCCATATGCATGCGCACACACACTCAAACACACACACTTTGATGTTGCATTCAGCCAAAAAATGAGTTACTGTGTTTCAAGCTATTAAACAGATGCTCAGTATCGTGAGACATTTCCCGTCTCCCTTACGAAACACGCTTTTATGCTGTTGAACTCCATGTTAGCATGCAGACTGTGCATGTTTATTTAGAACCCATATATGTGCAGACTCATGTAGCTAGTTATGAGGTGACATGAGGAGTACGCCTGTCATTTGTTTTCATATGTTTTTTTGCAGATTCACCCTCATTAACACTTCATAACAGCTCCATCTGTTCTGTTTTTACACATGCAAACCCTCCCCCTTATTTCTCAATCTATTCCTCTTTTCTGTTAAGGTCAGAATGAGCTTTAACTCTGACACCCGCGTAAAAAACTGCTCACACATGAAACTGCAAATGTGGATTTTTCAACATATGAAACTGATGTAGCTGAGACCCTTCACTTCTGAAATGTAAGACGTCACCTGTGATAGCATTAGTTCATAACAGGAAACATTCCTATGTGAATTCATCCGTTGTTTCTTTTTATTTTAAAGCTTGAAAGTGAATATGTGGTGTGACCACATTTGTCCCTCAACACAGCCTGAACTCTCGTTGGCAGTTTTCTTCTAACTTCTTTAAGTAGTCTTCAGGAACAGTTTCCAGGCTTCTTCAAGGACACTCGATGCTCTTCTTTGGATGTTTGGTGCCTTTTGTTCTGTTCTCTGTCAAGATGATCCCACAATGAGGCCAATCCTTGACTGTGTTTTTTTTCTATCTAGGTATGGTTTTTATGTACTGGGATCATTGTCATGACGCTGTTAACCTTCAGATGCCTTTCTGATGGTATTATATAGTGGATCAAAATCATAATTCCATCTGTTATCTTTGAAATTAGAACAGATGATGAGGTTTTTTGATAGGTTGCTAGTAACAAAGTGAATTCGGATACAATTTTAAACTGGATGTTTGCTAAGTCATCTGGTACATGTAAACACCGGTTCACCTCTTGACTAAGGTGCCTTTTTGTGCTTCAGTGATTCATAGATCAGTGTTAAGTTGCTTAGCAAACAAAAGATGTATCTGATTCTTCATCCATCTGAAAATAGCCAGGTACAAGGACTGGATTAAAAATGAGTGAAAAAGCAGCTAATGTCAAAAGAAGAACTTTAAAAGACTTTCAGAAAGTCTGGAGAACTATTACAAATTAAAAGAACTATTAAAAGAAAGTTGGACTCCTGTTGTTTTGAACTGGTGCTACAGTATATAAATTCAATTCAGCTGAACTGAAAAGAAGAAACAAGGGTTGGTGCAAGACTTTTGCACATACATGTTTTAAGTAGTCCACATATGATACTCACAAAAGCAGTTAATATTTAATTTGTAAGGCTGAACAGGTTTTACTAGTATGTAAAATATGACAAAGGTCCAGATCAGCCACATCCTTCATGTGGAAAACATCCCAAAGCCAAAACAGATTCACTTTACAGTGATTCAAATGAGGCGAAGATGAAACCATTAAAAATTTAGTCTAACTAATTGATTAAGAAGAACATCACATCATCTTTCTCTGTTTTCATGGATTTTACATATCACAACTTAACTTCAGTAAAAACTTGAGTTTCCAAATGCTCTTTAACTTTAAATCACTCCCTGCTGCTAAAGGTTAATATGACACATGTGACGCTGCCAAAATCCAATGCATCCTCCGACCTTTGTCACAAATGATCAGCAGCACTAAAGTCTCCTAGGCGACCGAGTAATTATGGCTGCAGCTACAAACGTCATTTGGGAATGACCACATTAAGCACGCTCTCAGTCGTCGTGGCAACCCTGCCAGGGGCAGGTTCTAAGGGAGATAAATGAACTGGGAGAGCGAGTAAACAGACTCTCACTCCGCATCTGTCCGTCTGTCTCGTGCCTGGGTACACAAACACACTCATATACACGCTCACATTACAGACACATGGACAAAGACAAGAGAAAGCTCACCAGTGCTATTATCTTTAATCTATAGTCTTTGCTTTAGATTCTTTTGGATGGGCATCGATAAAAAAATTCTTGGTATGCGGATGCTCATTCGCTGCTGTAGTCTGTAAATGCTTGATTCCCCCTATCCCCCGTGAATGCACCAGTTTCTGCTGGTGTCTAAACACCTTTCTAAAAACCTGTGAAACTGTTTTCAGAACACAACAACTCACGTCCAAGATTTCAAAGCCTCTACATTTGTAGTCTATAACATAGAACTTGTGCAATTTTTGCCTCCCATTTACACATTAATGGCTGTGCTCTCCTGAAAGAGCACTCTCACAGCCTGTGGGAGCTATAGTTGCTTATAACCGACGCCTGCCAAACGGGAAAAAGAAAAAGGATCTGCTCTTCTGTACATACCTCAGAAACTGACAAGTGTTAGAAGCAGACTGGGTTTTTTGATTTTTGTGTTTTTAGGACATGGACATCATCAAAATCTTTCAGGATTCCACGATTGAAGACATGGGAGAGAAGTGCCTACATGTCGGCTGTGAAGCCACACAAAAATAAACTGCAAATGAAGAAACAAAAAATAAATAAAATATCAAGAGAGGGAAAAAAAGGAACAAAGAACAAAAAAGTGTAGGAAAGGGTGAGAATAAAAGCAAAGCTGACAGTGGAAGATGGAGGAAGAACATGTCAGAGCAGAGTGAAGGCGAAGAATGAGGAGGAGGTGGTAGATGGCTGTGGTGTATGGCTGATGTATAATGAATGACCTCTGGCTGATGCCTTGGCCTTTCTTTCATCCATTTTTTTCCATTTCTGCTGTTCCCTTATTCTCCCCGTGTTCTTCTTCACCCTCATCACACTTGCACTCCTGTGACGCTCCTGTTTTTTCAATTATCATTCCTGTCATTTTTAGCTCCTTTTCCCATCAGCACCTCTTGTCTCTCGGCTGTTTTCACCATCTCTACACGAAGCAAAATGTCCTCATTTTACATCCCCTTCCCCTCCACCGTAATGTCTTCTAACAGGAGCGTGTAGCATTGAAAAGGACAGGTTATAGTCAACACACCCAGTGTCATCTGATATGTTATATTCAGCGGTGTGTCTGCCTGTTATATGCTTTAACCGGGCATCTCAGTCTGTGCTCACTGGGGATTTCACACTTTCACTGTCGTATCATAAAACAGACGGCCGTGCAGTCTTATGACATCTTCCACCTCGTGAGATGGTCTACAGCAGATTGGATCAAGCAGTACCTCATACTGACATATTTTTTTCGCCTTCAGACAAAGCCAAGCATATTACAATATAGGGTTTCTCCTCCTGGTGTTAGAAACATTTTAAATGGTTCCAGACATGAGAGTCAAAAGAGTTTAACCAGAGCCTCATTTCCCCTGATGAAAAGAAGCTTTTAGCTTAAATATAAGCCAGCTGTGAGATTCAGACTCCTTCAAATGATGGAAGCATTCAAATCCTTTAGTTTGAATAACAATCCTCAATTGGCTCCTTGAGTATCAAAAGTACATAATGTGCACTTTGAGGGACATTCACGTGTTTCTTATGTACAGTTTAAACGGTGGTAGTAGCCTAACTATATTCAGACAGATTTAATGCAGCAGTTTCCCTTTTAAAAGGTGGATGTTGGAGAAGTGGCATATGATGAATCTACCTGAATACATAAAAATGAAAACACTTGACTTTTTTTTTTAAAAAGCCTACATGTGATCACTTTCTGGCAGGCTGGTGTCATGAAACGGTAAATGAATAACACGCCATTTTCCTCAAATCATTTCACTCTTCCTGTTTCCTTTTCAAGTATCATATCATGCCAAGTAGTTTCAGCCATGAAAAGCCTAGTCCTGAACTTTTCATGCCATCATACAATGTTAAAGGAAATGCCAAGCTGAAAGCGCATATATATGACACTCGAAACAGGTCTGAAGCGCTGCCCTGTGATGTCGTGTCACCGTGGACAGCAGAAAGAATCAGGAAACGCAACATTTACCCCTTTTTAATGGTAAGCTTGTCAGATAACAAGTGTCTAGGCAGACCTACACATCCAGCGGAATCAGTGCAGTCTTGTTTGTTTGAATCATGTGTCTGTCCACCTGGCACACCCCAGTCCATTACTCACTCTCCTTTTTTTAAAAAGATTTGTTGACAACAAACTGCTGCAGGAAAATATGTGGGTCTTAGCTGCCTCGTGTTCTGCTGAGTTCATTCGTTTCCTGGGAAGGCATTGCTGTCAGCTACAGATTTTTTTTCACCAGCAACATAACCAAACATAAAGGCGAGAAACAAAATCAATGAGAGCAAACCAGGCACTAATTTGGGTTCGGGGTTCTGTTTTGGTGAGTGAGAATGTGACCCATTGAAAATATAGAAAGACCTGCTGATCCAGTCTCCATCCACACTATGGGCACTGAATGTATACTAATGTGTTACAAGTATTTATGACTACAGGCAGGTCCAGTGCCGCACCGCATGACAGATGGCTGCTTACTGACAGATGCATCCGCTCAGAACCATCACCATGGTCTTCCCTGAGCCAGACAGTCAGCCAGCCAACCACGAGCCGCTAGTCGGCTCAGTGCACTAAGCCGATCTGTTGCCCCGGCAACAGCTATTTTGGCTCCACCTTAGCTCGAACACACTGCAGGCTCAAATAAAATATGAGCAGGACGCCTTAAAGGAAGCTTGAGTTTTATCCTTCTTGTCACACATCCGCAGTTCCCTCCTCTTACTCTGCTCTGCCCCATCTGGAGCTCCTCTCCCTCTGCGCTTCTCTGTTTCATCGTGCTCCTGCCCTCTGTGGATGTTTTGCTCGGCAGAGATGCAGAGGGAGAGGAGGAAAGGGAGGAAAAGGAAAAGGCTGAAGGAGGAGGGGAGGCCCCAGCCCTGTTTAGCGAAGTAGCGGCTTGGAAACTCATCTGGTAGTAATAACGGCTCGCTACTGTGACTCATGCCTGCGTACGCCCACTGGACTATTACAGACTTATTTAGTATGTATGGTCATTAGACTCTGTGACCATGTGAACGGAGTGGCACACCAAACCTGTGGTGCACCATTAACGACGCAAAAATACACCCATAGAAAAGATACACCTCTCCACACAAATAAATCCCACAAAATATTACCTTTGTGCTACAATATAAAGAGTTTCCGCTTTCCTTTGAAAACTCTAGCTCAGGATTACTGAGATGAAATTAATTATTTCCTGCAGTAGATCATGGCTAAAGCTCCCATTTGGAGAGAGCTGGTTAGGAATCACTAAACCATTCCCAAATGTTCATTAAAGGTTAAATAAACTACAGGCTAGAGTTGGATCAGCAGTGTACCTCTCACTGTTTCCATACTTAAAGCACGCCAATGAGTCTGAGCGGGTCAGCAGTGAGGTTTGGATTAAGAGGTCAAAATGATAAAAGGACTTTATTACTAATGTATGTGAAAAACAAGCCAATGCTCAGTTAGGGATTGGACACTAAAATTTTGGTGTTTTTAATGTTTACCATCATATATACAAATGAAGACATGGATTCCAAGTCTGGCATTTTAAAAAGAGAGCTAAAAGATTAAAAATAAATAAAGAAACCATAGATTGTTTCAGTGACATCCTTCCAAGAAAGCACAAAGGCTCATATTCCGGGGAAATTTAACCACGGTCATTTTCCACAGAGCTTATGATCATTTGGGGCCCTGGAACAAACACCCTCTGTATTTAAAATATTTTGGAAAGCCATCTGATGAGTCTGAAGATGCAGCTTTCCTCCCAAAATGGAAGTTTCCCATCTAGGAGAGGAAAATTTGGCAAAAGGAGAAGGTGGATTGCATCTAAAACGCGGTTAACCACACCTGTAGTTGTTTTGCCTAATGCACCGCATCAGTAAAACTCATCATCTGTTGTTTCATCCAGTAAATAGTACAGAGCACTGAAGCAGATAGGGATGTAATGATAATGACTGTAGAGCCCTGCTAATGACTAATGGGTCCATTTAAGTCAAAGCCTCCTTCCTTTGAATTGAACTTCCTTTTTAAGCTGGAAAGGCTAATTCGAAACACCTCCAAATGGGTCACGGCACGATCTGTGGTGTTTTCTAAGAATCACGAATCGGGATAAGCGCAAAGAGATCATTATCAACCAGCAAAATGGCGGCTTTGCACGGCTGATCCCACTATCTACCATCTAGATTCATCAGAACTGATGCAGCGGGGCCCTCGCTCGCCCCTTTACGCACAGCACGACCCACCTGCGTTCCTCCTCTGCTGTTATCTCGGGGACACAAGTCATTTTTCTATAACCTTTACACACACACACACACACACACACAAATGAGGGCATAGCCAAACTGCTGCTATGCGCAATAGTGCATAATGTACTTGTGTTATCCCAGCGGGTGGTAATGGATTTCTATTAGTTCATACCACGACAGAAAGCAGGGACAAAGGGAGTGGGGATGGTGATGGTCCCGCGCGTTCAGTGTGAAACAGACTTTGTGTGTGCGTAAAACTGACCAGGTTCGTGCGTCCCCGGATTGTCGGACATCTCTAGCACCAGCAGCTCGCGGCCTTCGAAGCTCTCCCCGATGGTATAGATGCGGGTGATGGTCGGACACTGCAGCCACACCGACACCAGCGCTTTCCGCAGCTCCTCATAGCGGTGGTACTCGAAGGAGATCGCCCCGTCGGTACTGGCCGCGCTGACCAGGGTGACTACCGCAGCCCCGAGTATAACAACCGTAAGGAAGTGTTTCATTTTGACGCGTCCTCGTTTTCCTAAGCTTGTCTCCCTGCCTGCCGGCGGCTTGGCTCCGAGCCTTATCTCTGCGCTGCAGCCTCGCTTTAGGCTATAAATATCCTTCCCTCTGCCTCTCTCTCTCTTCCCTCTGAGTGTGATGCGCTGTACCTGAGCTCAGGCTCCCCGTCAACATACTGCGTAAAGCCAGCCACAACCAACCCCACATCCTGTCATAATTTTCAAAATAAACTGAAAAAGCCAAGATTTATTTAAATTGCTTATACACAAGGAAAACTCGTTATTGATAATACAAGAAATAAAAAGGGAGGATGGAAAAAGAACGAAAAGTAAGCAAGACAACCCGCAGGTTGCAGCATGGACGTAATAAGTCAGTAGAAGAGTATGAATAAGCACAAATGACAAAATATTACAAAAAGGTTTGTATTATGGCCCTTACAGCAACTCTTTCAGGGCATTATTTATGTTAAAACACGCACATTCAGTTTAGAGAATGCATGCTGCTACAGCTTGAGATGCTTCTGTTGTCATTTCCTGCTCATTTTTGCTTTGTTTTTGTATCATTTTTTTCTTTTGTAGAAGATATTTTACACAATAATATTCAATATTGCAAAATTAAGGACTATAATCCTAAACCTCACCCCCAACGAGGCATGGCAAGGATCGCTGCCCCTGCCTGAGCCTGGTTCAGCCAGAGGTTTCTTCCTGTTAAAAGGGAGTTTTTCCTTCTCACTGTTGTCAAGTGCTTGCTCATACAGGGCTTTTACCTTACAATATAAAGCGCCTTGAGGTGACTGTTGTTGTGATTTGGAGTTATATAAATAAAATTTAACTGAGCTTTCACCCATTTAAACTTTTTTTAATACACTTAAGTAATCTATTAATTTTTCAAAACAACTTTTCAAAACATGCAGACATGGTCTTAGGCTGTTGAGCAGCACAGTTCACCAAAGCTGTGGTATTAATGTAAAAAGAAAAGGTGTTTTTATTTATTTGTGTGCCATTAACAATTAGAATTTGCCAGTTTTATGTATTGAGTTTTTCCCGGGTCACATAAAATGCCTCACTTCCTCTTTGGTCCTGGCTGCTGTTGGCTCACTTGATGCAGCTGCCTGTGTGCGCTGGACGGAGCTGCGGGGGTGTGTCCACAGTGCAGCAGTGAACCAACTCCATGTACACCGAAAGGCCACAACATTAAAACCACTGACAAATAGAATGAAAAACACTTATCATTTTTGAGAAGATGCTATCTTCACCCAGCAAGCCTCTGGAATGCTACTTTGACACATACAATGGGCTTAAGCATGGCAGCACTTAGTCAGTGTTTCCACTCACTATATTAAAAAAATGTCAATTTAGCAGTAATGGATAAATTTATAGCTCGCTGGCACATATGTTCTTCTCTGACTAAATTCAGAAAAACAAAACTGCTACAGCAACAACACCTGTTTAAATTTGTTCACATATTTTATTCTGACAAAAACAGAAAAACAAAACACCAAAGATTTTTTTATTTTATATAAAATTAGAGCAGCATTTAATTATTTTTACAGGCTTGAATGACCTAGAACACATCCCCTTTTCATCAATAATTTACAGTTTGCATCAAACACGCCTGACTGGTTTGTTTTCAAAAGTCTGCATTGAGTTTATACAGTTTCCACCGAAGTGCAGATTCAACTACAGGAAGGAAAGACCGCATCAGATCAATTAGAGGAAGTGCTAAAGTGCTGAGACATTCAGAGGGTTAAAGAAGCATTTAAGTTTAAGCCTTTTGATAACAAAGCAAAATCGAAATGAGGACTTGATGGTTTTTATTCAGCCAGCTGACATTTCTTCTTTTCTAAGAAGGCAAAGAAGGCAGACCGAATCAACACGCAGTCTGATTCATAATCAAACCACAGCTGTGCTGACTCGTTTTTTTAAAAACACCTTTTACATGTGTTTTATTAAGTATACAGAGATGAAAATCAGCAGTAATTGCGTGGTTTTGTCTGTACGGCTCACTGCCTCTTCTCCACCTGACAGGACAGGCGTGTGTCCATGAAGGGAGGCTTGAGCAGTTTACTGTGTCTTCTTATCTGTCTGCTTCTGCATGTAGCTGTTGTACTGGCTGTCTGTCTTCAGCAGTTTGTCCCACCACGTGAAGGTGGAGGCGTAGTTCCCGACAAAGTTCATGTGGTGGAAGTCGTGGAAACGAGCGCCGGCGTAGAACGGGATCAGGTGGAGCGGGTTCAAAGGAATGTCGTAACCGCTAATAGAAATAAGAAGAGGAAAAAAGATATGTCATAATGTCACCCAAAAAGTGACCAACTTTCACAAATGAGTAAAAATCTTTGATGATAACTATCCTTCTAAAACAAAAACATTTGTCTTTTTCAGAAAGCAGAATGGTTCTCAAAGTCTGTTACTGAAGAAAAGATGGGTTTAACTTGGCTCTGTCCTCAGGCTGATGTTTTCAGTTTTAGAAGAGTGCACAGAATATTTGTACGAGACTACTTAAACTTGGTTAATCGGTTAATTAGTTTGAATCATTTTACTTATATCACAAGAAATTAAATAATAAAAAGAAGAAATCAATTGACAGGTGGAAAGGGCGCATGTTGTAGCTTCAGTTTATGAACCCAACCCTGATTTTAAAATAATTGACACTTTAAATGAACAAATTAAATCAACAACATCAGCAACCTCTGATAGAACCATGACAAAAGAAGAAGCAAGAAAGATTAAACCAATTGATGCATTGGCCCTAACCTTAGGTCTTTGTAAAACTCATAACCTTTACATATTTCTAAATTTCTAATGTGTAATCTATATCTGCAGGTGGTCAAGTGTATATTTCCTTTGTGTGTGTGTGTGTGTGTGTGTGTGTGTGTGTGTGTGTGTGTGTGTGTGTGTGTGTGTCTATATGTATGTGTGATGTACATGCAGGCTGTGAGCTTTGTGTCTTCCCAGAACTTTATAGTGTTCAGTAACGATGCAAATGTTTATGATCTGCTTTACTTTGACTGTTAATTTGCTTCATTATTTATAATGTTTAATGTTGATTGTTATCAAACTTATCAAACTGTTTTTCCTGAGTTTTCTGAATATCTTGACCTGAGCCTTTTCTTAAAAAGACGCTATACAAATAAATGTGTAATTTTGATTATTATTATTATTATTATACAGTAAACATTGTTTTCATAGAAAAAGTTAATTAAACAATATTATAGTCAAAAGTACTATTTCTACACTACAAATGTGTGATAATGTGTCCTGTATTAACAAAGGAGTTAATGAAGACTGTTTAACAGAACATCTGATGAGCTCTGTGGCCCTCTAGAGGACGACCTCGACACACCACAAACTAAAGTTAAGATGTATGCTTAATCAGTTTGATTGGGCTCAGTGATGAAGCTGTAAAATAAAAATGAGTGAAAACAAACTACATTGTCCTGTTTACAGCCACCATAATAAGCCATCTGGCACAAGGCTGTTTCTGGACAAGAGGTTCAGCTTAAAGAGGAATTAAAACCTCCAACTTCTCTCCTCACTCCCCCCACCTGTATCTTTCCCACAAATCTCATTGGGTTGAAGGGAGAGAATGAGAGAAGGAGAGAGAGATGCAAGGTTCATGTGCTTCCTTGAGCTGCATTTAAGAGACTGAAAGATCATCTTTGATTGTGGAATGATTTTCAGGAGAGCGAGGAGTTATTTAGTGAAAAGGAAAGCGCCCACTGTGTCCTACCTGTGAACATCGATGGTCTCCATCAGACGGAAGGCGACCCAGGCCCAGAGCAATAACACGTGGTTGCAGAAGATCATGATGCCAATGAAGAAGCCAGCCCCGAGGATGATCGTCTCAGCAGGGTGAGCGTATTCTGCCTGCATGCCAAACGGAGCCTGAGGCAGTGGAGAGACATGCTGACTGTACGTACACATAGTGGTTTTTTTGTTTGTTTGTTTTTTAATTGTAAACAGCTGCTAAAACACGCTTAATAAGTAACTCTTCCATAAACAGACTCAGCAGAAAGCTTTGTTTATTGATCTTATCACTCATCTGTTTTACTCACAGTGAAATCATGGTGGACTTTGTGGATGTACTTGTAGATCCGGCGGTGATGCAGTATGCGATGAAGGAAATAGTGCCAGGCATCCTCAACAACAGCACAGCCCAAGCACTGAGCCAGGAGATATGGCCTGGAGACGAAGGCCAAGAGATGTTTACAAAAGCACACTGAAATTATCCCAACAGACAGATCTGACAGACAATTAGCAGCATGTGGAACAACTGTGTTACATGTATAAAGCATATTCAAATGTTCCCTTTCTATTTAGAAGCAGATCAACATATCAGGTCATGTATAATAAAATGTAAGTATATTTTTATATAAATTATTGCTGTGCAAGAGCGAAAAAATTCTTTAGAGTCTTAAAGAGTCTCATTGTAACCATAATTATTGTATTTAGGGAGTCCACATTTGATTTCAAGGTCACACTTTGGTAAATAAAGCTGGGTTAATACCAGTGTTAACATGATGTCAATACATTTTTTTTAATCCTATAGTTGTGGTTAATAGCAATGCATTACAGGACCCATAATTCATATGACAGTTGTGAAACCGCTCTACTGTATGTCTAGGTCACTTTAATCCATTTAGGTGTGCATTATTGATCTGCACTGACCAGCGTGGCATGGAGTCCCAGTCATAAGGAATGTTGAAATACTCGGTGAAGTAGTAAGTGCCAAAGATCAAAGGCAGCTGGATGCAGAAATGGTTGAAAAGCAGCATCTTGAAACACCTCCACTGTTTCTCCCACGTCTCTGGCTTGTCCTGAAAAAAAAAAAAAAAATCTAAAGGGATTTGTGTCTCTTCCCGGGGATCAGGAGAATGCGTAAACCATCCATCTTCAAACAAACAAATAAATAAAAAACAACATCAATATCCAACAATTAAAAAAAAAAACAAACCTGCTGAATCTTGTATTTTTGCATGAAAGGCAGGAACTGGAAGAGAAAACCGGGCAGGCAGAACAGGAAATAGATTAACTCGTGGACGATGAGCGAGCCCCAGGTGGCAATCTGGAATTTGGTGTAGTTGTCCAGCATGTAGCCCCAGGCGTGTTTCAGGGAGGGCTGGAATGGGTTTTCTGGCAGAACAGCATCGACATACTCGACTGCAAGAT